AGCAGAGGAAAAGGGAGGAGCAGTTATCTTTTGCATCAGGTTTCTCACATTTTGGCTTTGTTAAATCTAAACAGTCTGTATTTAGATTTTTGTCCCTATAAAACAAATGTTTTTAATTGCACCCCATTTTGTAATGGTTCATGGGATTGTTGCAGGCTCCCAATCACTAGGGATCTCCCAGGGATGCTCCTGAGAAATCACTTTGGGCCCTTACCTAGACGATGCCTGACCCTGCTCCAAAGAATAGTGTTCTCAGGACCTGCGCTAAGGAAGACCTGCTCTGAGCCGAGTGAGAACAAAGGCTGTGTGCTCTGTGGTTCAGGGCAGTCACCCCCACCTCCAGTAGGTACTGCATGAGGCAAAGTGAGTTTCAGAACTGGGTGTCCCCAGAGAAACTGGAATGTGAGAACAGGTGCAGTTACATGTCACTCTGGAACTAAGGCTGGGCTGAGTTTTGTTGTCCTCTCCTAGATCTGTCAGTTCTAATAAAACGCCTACTCCTAAGGGCGACCCTTTTTGGTAGAATGATGGGCTAGTGGTTTGGGGGTGGATGAGTTCAGCCTCAAAGGCCAACAAAAATTTGGAAGTTTAAACACAACAAAGGTGTATTTGCAACGTGCTGATTTCCTCTTAACTTTTCTTCCTCAAATAGCCAATTCCACGACTCTTCTTTGCTGGAGAACACACAATCCGTAACTACCCAGCCACAGTCCATGGTGCTCTACTGAGTGGCCTCCGAGAAGCAGGAAGGATTGCAGACCAATTCTTGGGAGCCATGTACACCCTGCCTCGCCAGGCCACACCAGGTGTCCCTGCACAGCAGTCCCCAAGCATTTGAAACAAATGTACCCTAAGGGAAGAGGCTGACGTGTGTCTTTTGCTGTGTAAGCAAAGTTCTAGCAATAGATTCCTGAGAAACCTGCCCTGGCTTTTGGGCTTCCGGTCAGTTGCCGAAGTTCAGGATGGCCAGGTGGCCCAGGAGTTGTCTCCTTTGAGTGACTTGGAGCCAGGGATGAAGGCACTTGTCCATTTAGTGTGGAAGTGTGTGTTCTTCAAGACGGTGGCAAGCAAGTGCTATGAGAGAACATCTTAGTCTCTTGGTGTGTGGTAGGTTTTTTTATATTTTGAGAATAAAACTTCATATAAAATTAGTCCTTTTTGTTTGTTTTCCCTTAGCGTTAGAGCTGTATACAAGACAGGAGTGTTACTCCGTTGGAGATGTTAATTTTATCTGTTTACATAAGGAGGATGTTTATGTAAAGGAGAAAAATGACCTGGTCAGAAGACAGGCGCCTATAGAACAGTGGACTTCCTGGTCTGTGAGGCTAGATTTCCCACAAAGGGTGGGGCGGGTGACCATGTGCCAAAGGCGTGAGCAAATGGATATCGGGAAACTGAATTCTCAAAACACAAGACAACACAAAGTTTGGGTAGTCCTTACAGACTCTCCTGGCTTTATTCTCCAGATTCCCTCCGTGGGCATGTCTAACTATACTTCCATCCAAGGTACTGGTATAAAGTTTTGGCGAGTTCTACATAAGGAACAGATCAAGGGTTTAGGTAACTTCGCTGCTATAACAAATTACCAACAAGCTCTGAGGGAACATTCCATTTCCTTGCTTTTCTCAGCTTCTAGGGGCTGTCTGTATCTTTGGCTTATGGCCCCTTCCTCCATCTTAAAAGCACACCGATCTCTGCTTCCATCATCACTTGTGGTCTTTAGATCCCCCTCCATCTCTCAGGATACTGGTGATTTACTTCAAGGCCCACCCAGATCATCTCCCCCATTTCAAAATCTTCAATCACCTCTGCAAAGTCTCTTTTGCCATGTAAGGTAAAAACTTGTAGGAACAGAATGTCTGCCTATTCCTTATCCAAGGGCTCTTAGCAGACTAAATGCGCGTGGATGATCTGCTTCTAGAAATCGGATTTAACTTGCATTAGTGAATTCTTCCCTAAATGAGGTTTTATTCTTAGTAAGATTTAAGGGATATTACATTGGTGGTCTGAGTGGAAGGCTTTTTTCCTAGTCTTGGAATGAGTGACAGTAATTAGGAAATTTTGCACACCAGAATCAGAGCAAGTGGTATAATTGATGTAAAGGTGAGAGCAGCAAACAGTGGGAAGTATGACAACTTTGGAGCACAGCTCGGCCATTATATTGTTACCTTGGGCAGGGAGGGGGTGGTTAAGGTATTTGAACCAGTGTTAGGTGCTTTTGTTTTTTAAATAGATGGCATAGGACCCTTGAGAGAAGATTGTTTTGTGTGTGACAAGCCTAAAAATAAAATGTAGCAATAAAATAGGTGCTGTATGATTCTAATACCAGTTCAGTTCTGGCTTCTAGGTATGTTCTTTACTAAGCCTCAGGTATGTTTCCAGTCCTTACAGCACCAGTAATTGGCTGAGAATTTTAAATAAAATACGGTGAAATATACTAGCTGCACCAACGCATAGAAAAGTTCTATGCAGAGATGACATCAACACAAATGGCATCACTGACTCACACACATGGAAACTAGGGAGCTTTATTGGTTACATATTGTGCTGCAGAGCCGACAGACAGCATGAGAGCCAGAGGATACATGCAGACAGGCAGCTTCAACTAGACACATGCACCCAAGGAGCCCTGAGTCACTGCTCACGGCTTTGCCCTGGTTTCCAGTGG